AGCTTTGTTGCACTCAATAGCTCTTACACCAAGTCACTGTTTTTCCTCAAAATCTCTGTACACCAATGTGAGGCAGACCATGTTGATGTTGCACAAAAGTGAGAGAAATGAGTGCTTAAAGGAAGCTGTCCTCTCATTTGGCATGGAGTAAATGCCTCTTTTCTGTCTTGAGTCCCAATAAGGAGCACTTTGCCCATGAGCTCAGTCAGATCACATGCCTTTTCCTCCCCTTTATGTGTTGAGTGAGAAGAAAGCTGCTCCTAGAGGTCAGTGCCTTGTCTGAGTAATGCACACCTGGTGGTGATACATACAGTGGGAATTCACATTCACCCTCAGAATGGGTTTCCTCCTTCAGCTCAGAATGCTTTACTTGGGAGTGTCATGAGTAATTCGGTCAAGGGGTGAAAATCCTCCCATCTTAGGAATCAAATCAAAAAGACCTCATTGGGCAATAAAGAGAAGTGTCTTTTTTTTTTTTTTTTAACTTTTATTGTGATTTTGGGGAAAATTTACAGAGCAAATTCACTTTCCATACAGCAGTTCACATACACTTTGTCTCATGACATTGGCCACAATTTACCACAATGCAACAGCTCCCCTTCCACTTCCTCCTGATAGTTGAGAAGTGTCTTTGTAATGTGATGTGGAAGCACTTTCTATTTATTATTGCTGTTTGCATGTTGTTAACTGCTACTGATAGGCCCCATCAACAAGGGAACAATATGCTGCCCAGTCCTGTGCTGTCACCATGATGGGTTGTGGAGCTGACTATTGTGAGCCGTCGGGTTTGTCTTGGCTGATTTTTGGAAGTAGATCTCTAGGCCTTACTTTCTAGTCCATCTTAGTCTGGAAGCTCTTTGATACCTGTTCAGCAGCGTAGCAACACACAAGCCTTCACTGACGATGGGCGTGGCTGTGCATGATGTGTATTGGTGAAGAGTTGGACTCAGGTCTCCTGCATGGAAGATGAAAATTCTACCCCTAAACCACCACTGCCCCCATGCTGTTTGCTTAGACTGTTAATTTAATTCTCATACTGTATGGGGTTGTTGTTGTTGTTATGTGCCCTCCAGTCCAACTCATAGCAACCCCTCCTTGGGTTTCTGAGGCAGTATCACTACGGAAGTAGATTGCCTCATCTTCTTTTCGAGGAGTGGCTGATGAGTTTGAGCCACCAGCCTTCTGGTTAGCAGTCAAGTGCCTTAGGCACTATGCTACCAGAGCTCCTACTATATGGGGAGGCAGGTGCTATAATCATTCCTATTTTACAAACGAGAAAACTGAAGGATAAGAGAAAGTACTGTTTGCCCAAGGTCTTGAGCTCACCCTGTGGTGCACTCCAAGGAAAGTCTTCGCTCCTGTGAGCCTGCTCCTGGGCTGCTGAGCACATTGCCCATGGCACCCACAACTTGAGAGTGCTGCTCACATGCTCTCCGTTGGCAGCTTTGCATTTCAAGGAGATAGTACTGCCGCTGCAGGACACTGTCCCTGGGGTCATGAAGATGGATGTGGCCTTCTTCCAGGATGGTGATAATCGTATTGAGGTTTATTTGTTTATTTTCTGTGGCAGATTGTCCGCCCTGCCTTTGAGATGATGGGATTGGGAAACGGGCGTCGGAGCATGAAGTCACCACCACTCCTGTTGGCCGCTTTGGTGGCCTGTATCATCATCCTGGGCTTCAACTACTGGATTGCGAGTTCCCGGAGCATGGATCTCCAGGTGTTTTGTTTTAAATGACTTCCTTATTTTAGAATAGTTTTAGATTTACAGAAAAATGTCACAGATGGTATAGAGTTCCTATATACTCCACACCCAGTTCCCCCTATTAATTATTTACATCTTACATTAAGTGGTGAATTTATCACACATAATGAGCCAATTATGATACATTATTATTAACTAAAGTCCATAATTTATTTCAATTTTCTTAATTTTTGCCTTGTGTTGTTAGGTGCCATTGAGTTGGTTCACAGCAACCCTTTATGTACCACAGAACACAACACTGCCCAGTCCTGCACCATCCTCACGGTCTTTCCTGTGTTTTTTTCAGCCACTGTGTCAGTCTATCACATTGAGAGTCTTTATCTTTTTCATTGACCCTGTATTTAACCAAGCATGACATCCTTTTACAAAGACTAGCCCCTTTTGTTAACATGTCCAAGTACAAGAGATGAAGTCTGGCTGTTCTCACTTCTAAGGAGCATCTGGCTGTACTTCTTCCAAGATGGATTTGTTAGTTAGTTTTTACCTAATGTTCTTTTTATATTCCAAGATCCCATTTAGGATACCTCCAGGGTTTTTTGCCTGTTTGTTTTGTTCTGTCTGTCCAGATGTAATAAAGTAGTTGCTAGGCAGTGAGGTTCAAATGGTTTGTTATTTATATTATTTCAGTGCTGTCAGTGGTGTGCACAAGCTGTAATGTCATGTGTGTAACACACACATTGTAATGTGACTCCCACTCTGGGCCTGACTCTTCGTACCCTCAGTACTGTCCTTTCTTTTAGCTTTGCTCTTGGGTGGGAAAGGACCGTTTGGCACCCACTCATGACTTCTTAGACAGCTGCCAAAATATCCCCCTCTTCTTAACCTGTGAACAGATTTTAGGCTATTTGGGCTGGTTCTGGGGAGATAGCTTGCTTAAGTACACTAACGGCAGCCCATCTCCTAATCATCAAGTCCTCATTGGATATTCACAAGTGATGTTGGAAATTTGTTTGGATATGGGTTTGAGGAATATGCTTTTAAAGGTATCATACTTTAGCATTGTCATTTAATGATGATGATGATACAGTTTTGCCACTTATTATTCCCCATCAGAGGCCAGACACAGTACTGAGCAGTTTGTAAATATTATCTTCTTCTGTTCACAAACCCTGCAAGGTTGGGACTTTGTTTTTTTCTCATTGCACAGGTGGGCAAACTGAGGCATAGGGAGGTTAGTTAATACAGGTGGAGCTGGGTTTCTAAACCAACTCTTTCTGATGGTAGAGCTTGTTGACCGTGAAACTCCCTCTCACATAAGCTTTGTTAATGTTCTGTCTGGTGTCACACTTCCTTTTCCAGGGTTATAGACTGTGTCTCAGCTTCCACCCAGCCATTGTTCTCTGGGCAGATGTTGGGTCTCGAGAATTAATTTTCAGAAGCAGTATCTGATAAAGAGTTGTTGGGTGCTTTTGCTAGCAGGGGAAAGGAACTAAGTATCTGAATATCCTCTTGTGCCAGGTTAAGCCCTGGGCCTTTTATGTACTTATCTCTTTAAAGGCCACAGAGCCCTGAGATATGTGGTGGTAGTTCCATTTGACAGTGGGCACACTAAAGCTCAAAGATGAGAACGCTTCCATTTGTACACCATTCCTCTAGAAAAACCTAGCTAGCTAGAACTTGTTCTAGTTTCCACACAGTTGATTTACAACATGCGCCTTTGGGATCCATGAGTGGGGTAAGGCATGATGCCGGCTCTGGACCCTCGTGTGTGTCTGTTGCAGGGACTCAGGCAGGGTGGTCTGCAGCAGTGGCTCAACATTAGCCCTTACACTGTGGCCTTCTTGTAGACACGCATCATGGAGCTGGAAGGCAGGGTCCGCAGGGCGGCTGCAGAGAGAGGTGCTGTGGAACTGAAAAAGAATGAGTTTCAGGGTGAGCTGGAGAAACAACGGGAGCAGCTTGACAAAATCCAGTTGAGCCACAACTTCCAGCTAGAGAGCGTCAACAAGTTATACCAGGATGAAAAGGTAAGGCCTGCTTGCTTCCTAGTTCTGTTCTAAATAGCACCTTATGAGTGGTCAAATTCTTCTCAGTAGGAAGATAAGTGGCTGTGGGATTTATGTAATTATATGGAAAGAGCTCTTGATCAAGCCTTGGGCCTACACCACCCACGCCCTATACCCAGAGTCCCTGTATAGGCATGTTGTGAAACGTTTTGCAGTGGTGATGAGTGGGAGAAATGCAAGAGAACTAAGATGGCAGCATAGCATCCTATTGACATTTTTTTCTGGTTTACTTTCTATAAATACGTATTAAATACCTTTTCTGTCAAGTGTGTGCAAATTGCTTGTGCCCTCAAATATCTCACAGGGGAGTGGGATTGCAGATCTAAAAAAAAAAAGAAAGAAAAACGGACAAAGTATGCGTCTTAAGAGTGTTGCTATTTAAGTTAAAAAAAAGCAATCAGATTCTTCATACTTTAAGAAGGGACTTCCTATTAATTAAAATATCTAAGCTTTGCATGCCTTTCTTTTTCAGTTTCTGTTAGTAAATGGATAATTTCTTTGGTAAGAATTAGCACAAAGCTGGTGCCTATAAGATGGGGGTTTAAAATCTCTCCAGTGTCCAGGTTCTTCAAGGTGCTGTACCACTCCATCTCTGAAACCAGCTACTCCCCTCCCTCAGTGCTCTTCCTCTCATCTTTGTGTTCTTTATCAATGCAGTGCCTCACAGAACTAACGCACCGTACTTAACGATTATGGGATTTGTAAGGAAAGTGACTGGTTACAGCTCAGGATCAGGGTCAACTTGGAAGTAACAGGAACAACTGAGGATACAGTTCTTTGATCAGGACAGTTTCTTCTCAGCTGCTGTCACGGGCCCTGCTTGGGCATTGCTGCTGCTGGACTCTGCTTGGCACCTTGCTGCCACTGGGTCCTGCCTGGGCAGTTGTTATAGCACTTAGCTCCATGGGTCAGTGAGTTCCACCACAGCCTTCTTGATGCTGGTCTCCTGGTTCCTGCTGTCTTGTGCTGCTATCGCCCTTGCTGCTGTTCTAATGCCTTTAGCTGTCTGCATTGTTACAGCTCCTCCTTGTCTCTCTCTCTTTCTCTGTCTCTCTCTAAAACCCCTCTCAGGGAAGCTGGTTTTATAGCAAGCTTCTTATCAATTTCTAGGTGTTAAGCTCTACCCCAGGAGCTCTGGTAGCGTAGTGCCTAAGACACTTGACTGCTAACCAGAAGGCTGGCGGTTCAAACCCACCAGCCACTCCTCGGAAGGAAGATGGGGCAATCTACTTCCCTAGTGATACTGCCTCGGAAACCCAAGGAGGGGTCGCTATGAGTCAGGTCCAACTCAACGGCACATAACAACAACAAAGCTCTACCCCCAACCCTGTCCCCACCAAGACCACGAACTAACCAGTCCTCTACAAGGGTTCCGTGTACCTTATTTGCTATAGAAGACTATCCGGTCCCCACAAGGGTTCCACATACTAATTTACATAGTCCCAGCCAGTCATTTAATGGGAGTTACAAGACCATGGCTACAAAGGCCATATAAAGGCCATTTATTGCACTGCAGTTGCGAATGTGTAACTATTTATTTTTGTTAATTAAGTTGTAACATTGTTTGAGTTACTAGTATGTTATTCCCAAGTGCTTCAAACTCATGGCCATTCATAACCTAGAAGAGTTTGGCTCTTACTAATGCATACCCCTCTCTTTGTGGAATGGTCAGTGTGCTGGAAGGCGGTTATATTCTTAGCTCTGTTATCTTGAAGGTAGACATGGTTTTAGTATGAACTAGTGGAGTTCCTTGCTGTGAGTCAGGATTGATGCAATGGCAGTGGGTTAGTTTTGTTTTTTAGTGGAGTCTCTGGGTAGGGTGCATATGGTTAACACAGTTGGCTGTTAACTGAAAGGCTGGTGGTTTGAGTCCACCCAGAGGCACCTGGGAAGAAAGGCCTGGTGATCTGCTTCTGAAAAATCAGCCATTGGAAACGCTTATGAGGCAGTTTTCCTCTGACGCATATGGGATCTTCATGAGTTGGAGTTGATTGATTCTGTGGCAGCTGTCCCCCCACCTCCCATGGCCAGCACTTCACCAGAAAATGAATCATTTCTACCTAGAACCTCAGACATTTTGTGCATGTTGTTGTTGTTAGCTGCTATTGACCCAGGCCCTGATTCATGGCATCACAGTACCCAGTGGAACAAAATGCTTCCCGGTCCAGTGCCATCTCCATGATCAGTTGTGGATTGGATCAATGTGATCCATAGGGCTTTTAATGGCTGATTTGTGGGAATAGATTGCCAGGCCTTTCTTCTTAGTTTGTCATAGTCTGAAAGTGCCACCGAAACCAGTTTGTTCATTATCGAAGCAACACTCAAGCTTCCACTGAAAGATGGGTGGTACCTAACTGTTTTAAAATGTGAGAAGTAACCTTTGCCATTGGGAGAGTGTTTTTATTTATTTTTAAAAATTTTTATTGCGATTTGGGTGGAAGTTTACAGAGTAAATTCATTTTCCATACAGCAGTTAATAAACATTTTGTTTCATGACATTGACTACAATCCCCATAATGTAACAGCTCTCTTTCCACTTCCTGCCTGTAGTTACATATTCTCATGTCCTTCTTTCCTATGTATTCCTGCCCCCTGAGCTGTCTCCCTGTGCAAATGCTACCCTTCTGTTCAACCATGATTGATCATTCTAAGAAGTATGTGTTAGGCTGGGTTCTTTGGAGAAGCAAAACCAGTAAAGCTTATACTTTATAAGAGAGAAAGATACAGAGAGAAAGAAAAAAAAAAATTATCTTAGGAAAATGGCTCACACACTTAATAGAAGCTGGCAAGTCCCGAGTTCTTGGATCAGACATCAAGCTGGAGATTTTTCCCGACTCACGCAGCTACAGGAGCTGACAAGCTCAAGGTTGGCAGGTAGTATACTGGCTGTTGACTCCAACGAATGACGAATCCACAATCTCCAGGCTGAATGGTGGATTGTTTGCTCATCCTGTTGTAGGCAGCACAACAGGATCCCGATCCACAGAAGAAGAGTATCTCTTTTTCCCAGGATGTCCATAAATATATTGGAAGCAAGCTACACCCCTAAGGAAACTCCCTTTCAATGGATTGGTTGCTCAAAACTTAAGCATTTGATCTCATCATGGGAGTAACCCACATCACAACTGCTTAAACCACTCAGAATTGTGGTCCAGCCAAGTTGACATACAACTCCAACTACCACAGAGTATATATCTACCTGGTGTAAATGTTCACCTTATATGCAGTGCTTGATATGCCATAAAATTTCAAAAAATAATAGATTGTATTATTATAGCTAGTCACAATAGCAGGAGATCTGGGAGCACAGTGCCTAATGCATTTGACTGCTAACCAGAAGGCTGGTGGTTCAAACCCACTAGCCACTCCTCAGAAGGAAGGTTGGGCAATCTATTTCTGTAGTGATACCACCTCGGAAACCCAAGGAGGGGTCACTATGAGTCGGATCTGACTCCACGGCAGTGGGTTTGGTTTTTTAATCTTTTTTATAGGAGCAGATTGCCAGGTCTTTTCTCCTTTGGTGCTGGGTAGATTCAAACCACCAACGTTTTGGTTAGTAGCCACACACTCAAGTGACAATAGTAGTAATGATAGTGTTACCTCTTTTTTTGGGGTGGCAGATGGATGGTATGGGTCTTTTTTCCTACCAAATTACCACATTGAAACCAAGTTTTGTTAGCTTTCAAAGAATTAGGTAGACACTGAGTAGCCATTAGAACACACAGGCAAACAGTGCAGCCGAACCACGGGCAGAACAATAACTATAGTCACCATACCGATGATAAGAACTCACATTTTTTAAATCTACTTAGCCAGAATTTGAGCTCAGCATTTTGCAAGGATTATTTCAAGTATTTCTCTCAACACCATTAACAGATGAGGAAACTGAGGCTCAGAGAGTGTTATTGTCGCCTAGACCCTGAGCAGGTCCAGAACAGTGTCCATCTCTGCATCCGGCCCCTCTTCCCTCTGGTGCTGACCCAGCTTCTCTGCTGCCTGCACACCTGAAGGGCGGCAGTGACCTCTCCTACCTCTCCATCACTTCAAAATAACATGAAGGGGCAGAGGGGAAAACAGAAAACACACTGGCCTGAGCTGATAGTTGGTGAAGTTAGGTGATTGGTACACGGAGGATCATTATACTACAATATCTGCTTAGCTGCTTTTGTAGTCATTAAAACTTTTGAAACTTAAAACAGAAACTTAAAAACATTTTTATATCTCCTTGCTTCAAAAGCCTATTGTATTCCAACTTGTTCTTTTTTGGTTCCAGTCCCAAATTCTCAGGTGACAGGTATCTAATTGTTTCGGTATGTCCAGGTACTTCTCAGAGAAGAAGGTCTGGTCTGTCACCTCAATACTTGTTTCTACATAATCTTGTTTTTTCTTTTTCTCCTTAGGAGGTTAAAACTCATGGTTTGAATCAGAGTGAGATTCTTTTTGGAACTGTAGAGCCATCTGGTGATCTAGTAGTGATTCTTGACTGTGGGAGGAGGTGGGGATATTGGGATCTGTGAGGGGGATTGGTTTGCAAATTTCATATGACTTAAAGATTAGCGCTCTCCCACCCTCTTCCATCGTCCACTGTCTTAGGCAGTTATTGTAACTCACGTCAACATCAGTTGCCATGGGGTCAGTTCTTAGTCAGCAAAACTCCTTGTGTGCAGAGTAAAAGTGCTCCATGGCATTTTCAAAGCTGTGATCTTTTGGAAAGAGATCTTCAGGCCTTTCTTCTGAGGTGCCTCTGGTTGGATTCAAACTGCCAACCTTTTATTTATTTATTTATTTATAGCGTGCTTTGGGTGCAAATTTACATGGCAAGCTTGGTTTACATTCAACAGTTCATGCACAGCTGATCCCACAGCCCTGATTACTGTCCCAAACTGTAAAAAAAAAAACTCTCCTCCCCTCCCCTCCTTGTGCTCACTCCCTCCCTGTGCCCTTCTTATCTGTGCATTCCT